GGATATTCTAAATACCGCAGTAAACAAATGATCGTATGGGGGCTGAGATCTACAGAAATGTTCCATTTGTCTCTGTACAATATTCAAAAAACATGAATTTTTCCCCTCTAAGATTCTTTTTCAATTCTCTTTAGTATTTCAAACATCAAGCAAAATATTTCTATATTTTAGGGTACAAAAAATAACAAGAGAACAAGAAAATAATGTGTTGGATGGAAGGTGAAGCTCTTGAATAATTTGAGGATTGTTTTCTGAGCGTAAACGAAAATTCTTGGTGATCTAAGAGTATGAAGATAATTTTCTGTAGTTGTTTCAACAAAATCGCAAATAAAAATAACTATAATAAAATATATTTTAAATAATAATCATAAATAATACGAATTATTATTTAGACAACTAAGATGAGGGGGGGTTAACCGTTTATGCATTTATACAACAGCAGCCAGGCTTTTGTTAGTTAATTGAACGATAATCTTGTTGGCTACTCGTTTTGCATACGGCCGCGTCTGCGTGACGTACAGTCTCGGAGGCTTGAGGGAGCGCGGAGTTCCGGGAACTCTCCCCATCCATCTTCGCCGTAAGGGGAATAGAATATTCCGCATCCCGTTCGTAACGAGAAAATAAGCGGTGGGCCGCCGCCTCCGCAATTGTATCCAACATCGGCCATTACTCGTCCGCCAGGAACCGTTTGGGGCCGCACGAATTAGCCGGCGCCTGGAACGGCACGCCACGCGTTCCCTCTCGTTGCGCACGCGCGCAAGCACGCACTCTGCGCGGCCTGCGTGAACAGTGCTCTCTAGAGGTGGCAAATTTTACGAAAACTTCGACACATCTCCAAAAGGTTTCCGATGTGTATGAAAACATCGACAAAAACGTCTGTTGGCATATACGCGGCCAAATTAATTCAAATTAGCGCCGGACTTGGAATTCAATCATTCATAACAATTCTTTGGCGCGAATTAACAGCGAAGAACTTACATTTCAAACGGGCTTCGTCGGCTGGAGTCATTTGATTCTTGGCTATCTAGGATGAGCCGCGTCTCAGTCTATCCAGCTGAGGTTCGGCCATCCTATTGGGTCTTTCTTCAGAGCTATACTTATATTTAAAACTTACCACGCCTGAGATAGAATTCTTTTCGTCCATATCTGCCGGCTAACTTCCAAAGAGGAAAAGTAATTCATTTTTTCGAATGAGCCTCTTTGGAACGGATTTTTTGAACTGCTTTCAAAGATAACCGGCAGATCGCGCCACCTACCAGCCTGCCGCCCAAGCAGCATGGTACGATATCGGCAGATTCCCAGAATCAAACGACTTTCCATTTAAGACGCGAGGAGATTGCATTGTTGAATCTGGATCGAGCAGATTAGTGGCAAACCGCTTCGCTCATGTAAACAAGCTAAGTAATACGCGTATAGGTTGCATTAAAAGTTAGGATTTCTACGTTGGTAAGCGTCCTACCATGGGAATGCAGTATCCGTGCCCCAGCGCTTGAAAACGCGGTAAAAACAGCAGAAAGCCTTCCGTACGCGTGAATAACGAATGGGATTCGTAAGGAGAACGTTTATTTTCTGCCAGAGAAAGGTAACACGGTAAGAACAATTCGAGGATGGTAATTGCATCTTTCAACGCAATCGAGTACCTGTTCATACTGCACGGCTTGTACTTCAATACCATCCCTGTAATGGACTGGCCTGAACTGAGTCCTAACTTGAATCCTGTAGAACATCTTCGGGATGTTTTGGAACGCCGACTTACCTACCTACATCGATACCTCTTCTCAGTGTAGCACTCCGTGAAGAATGGCATGCCATTTTCTAAGAAACCTTCCAGTACCTGATGAAAGTATGATTGTGAGAGTGGAAGCTGTCATCAAGGCAAAGGGTGGGCCAACGCTCTGTAGAATTCCAGCATTACCGATGGAGAGCGCAACGACCTGGTAAGTCATTTTCAGCCACGTCTCCAGATACTTTTGATCACAGAGTGTACCTTTTGTGCGATCTGAGGAATGAGAGGAACCGATACATCGCATCTGGAAAAAGAATATTTGCCATTCAAATTCATCAGTTTTTTTATAGTCCTTTGTTTGAATACGTTTGGTATTTATGTGTCCGCACAAAACTACTCAGTGAAATTTCAAAAGGGAAAAATGGATCGAAAGATGATTTCACATGCCATGAGCCGAAGTCTCCCACGAGGCTGAAGGGACAAGATATAATCTTCCATCACCAGTGAGAGAGTCTGTATTGCGGTAGATTCACAAATACTGAACTACGTGTCGTCGGACCATGAAGTTCTCAAAAAAGTATTGTCATTCAAGTAAGATAGTTGTAATTTAGAACGATATAAGATTGTGCTTGTTGAGCTAAAAATAACCCATGATCTTAAAACGTAATTTAAAAGTGTCTGAATTTCATCTCAAATGAGGAAAAGTTCATAGTACACACTTTGTACGTCACAAATTCCAGACGAACCGATCAGACTTTGAATACCTGTACCCACAGATGCAATTTAGAGCTTTGGTTGATCATTTTTGTGTCAACCCTACAAAATTTCCAACACAGAGGACGTTTACTTTTGATAAAAATTGGCATGTGTTGTCTACTACAACTACTTTTGTATTGACCAGTTACATTTCTACTTCTCAGAACCTTTTGCTGTTAATGGAGAACGCAATTCAGGCATCTAAAATTCTTCCGATAGGAACACATCGTTGCATCGTACTTCAGAGTGATGTATTTCAATTTGAAAGCAATTGTTAGGACAAATGTAGTTGGCAAGAAGTATGTAACTCCAAACACTGACGGAAGATAAGAAGGAAGGAAGATATAAGGAAATTAATTGTTTTGTTTTTTATGATATGGAGATGAAGTAGGTGACAGGAAGGCGGGGGATACGGGATTTTCCAGCACACCTACTTCCATCCTTTTTGGAGTAACACAACTTAATGATGCGGGTCAAACGGAATTTATATCGTGGCAATTAGTTGTGGTTTGGCTTTACGTTGCCTCCTTGCAAGAACAGCAATGTATTCGTACTTCAACTCTTTTAGATTTTCTGTTGCTCATTGCTATTTTCCATCGAGAACTACATTTAAACCTCTCCTATTTGCCATTCAAATTCTTCTTACAATATCCAACTCTACAAAATTTTTTTTTTATTCCAAGTAATTCATTTTTCAACATTGCTTAGCTCAAAGGACAATGTAATATCAAATAGTGTATAACCAAAATGTAGAAAGTGCAGAACTCTAAATATACAAATATGGTAGTTAAATTTTTATTTCTAATAATTTAGATATCAAGTTAAGTCCGTTTCACTAAAAATAAACCTCCAAACACAATAAACGTTTAAACAAGCTTTGAAATATTTTAGGAATTTAAATGCATAGAAACATCTCATTACGTCTTAGCCGTTTTCTCTCTGCAATGGTAGTGAAATAATTTTCTACCCGATGAACGTTCATCGACTACATTACATTTCGCTGGTAACAAAACTTCTCTTTTAACACTCTCCCCGTTTTTCTTTCGCGGCATCTTGCGAACCATAACATCGCTTCGCGGGCAGCTGTACTCAGCCTGATGTAATGCGCGGGAAGTTCGTTACAAAAGGCCTGGTCACGTGGCCATTTATCCTGCGCGAAGTGCTCTGGCAAAGGCGGTTCCCGTCAAGTGAATGTTCCACGAACGAGGGAGGTGGCGGGAGAGAGGAGGACGATGGGAGGGAGGGGAAGAGGGAAAGGGGTGAGGAGGCCGCTGTCGCCAAATCCCGCGCTGGGTCTTCAAGAGCCGCCGCGGGAATGTAAATATTGAGGAAATTACTTGAAAACATCCATTTTACGGGTCGCACGCTGGAGACGGCTTGGCGGACGGGACGGCCCACTACATTACCAGAGCGGTATAAATATTCATTGCTATTGACAAGGCCTGGGCGGTGAGGGTGGGGGAGGAAGGAGCAGGTGGAGGAGAAGAACGACCGAGGGGGGAGGAGGAGAAATGCAATGAAGAGGAGCTGGAGAGTGATGGGCAACGCTGCTATAGATAAATGGAATGAAGATCGATGCCCAGAACGAGAGACGCAAAGAACCAGGAAAAATGCCAAACGATTTAAATTACTATAAATGGATGGAGATATATTGAATGAAAAGATAATGAGGATTAGACGGAAAATAGAAAAGAAATTTCGATGCCCAGTAGAGTTCTAAGAATCATCAGAAAAGAGCTATCCACCAGAAAGATACTAAGGGAATAAAAATACCTTCAGAAGTGAAAAGAAATGATAATTAAGATGAAGTGGTTCAACAAGCAAACCGATTGTCAAGATGATCGAAAATGCAGAAAAGTAAGATAAATGTTATCCAATCCACAGTTATCTGAACGGAAACAGCAACCCTTCTATCACAGATTTTAGGAAAATTATTTTTTAGATGTGCCTGGGCATATTCTAGTCTTGAACTTCGACTTTTGCATTTCATATTTCAACAGTAGAAATAAATTATTAATTGCAAATAATTTGAAACAGATATGGCTCAACATTAAAAAGCATTTTATTACGTAAAAGTTCTCAGGAAGTATCAAAATCTGCACCTTAATATAATGAAATATGAGAAGTGGAAAATAAACTCACAAAAATCGTGAATACTAGTTTGATACTAGATGGTAAGAAACGTATTTTTAAAGGCGAACAAGTAATGTTCTGTTACAAAATATCCAAATGTGTTGTGCCATGTGCAGATTTACAGTATGTAAAAAAACCTACGCTTAAACGATATTTATACCCTAAATTATTAAACCGTTCATCCCTTCTCAAAACGGTAACGCGTGGAAACTTTTGTTCTGGTGTATCGTTTAGATGCAGCGTGCTTAGCCATCTCGTGCTGTTTGAGTCGCAGCACAGACAAGACCTGGAGGATGGTACATCTCGTTAGCCAGCGGAGGCTTGCACGGGCGGACGGCATGCAGTGGGCGGGGGCGGTGAGGATGGTGTGAGCAGAGGGGCGACGATGGCAGCAGGGGTGGCGGGAAATATGGGGGCGGCAAGGGTGGCGCGGTCAGGGGATGATGAGGATGGCACGGCAAGAGGATCGGTGGGGGAGACGGGAGGCAGAGGCGGAGAGGGTTGCGCGGTCAGGGGCTGAGGAGGGTGGTTGGGGGGGGGGGGGGAGACGCGAGAGCGGCGAGGACGGCGGCTGCAAGACGGGTTGTGGCGGAGGCGAGGGCCCGGAGGGTCGGTCGATGGCGACCCGACCGACATACAAGAGCGCTCTCGTGATGATGTGGCAAGTCTTTATTGGCGCTGAAGCGTCCTTCGCATTTATTTGTGGCGGGTCCCCGCGACCCGCCGCCTCCCTCTCCCCGCCCCCCCCACTCTTCGTCCCCGCCGTGCGGGGTGGCGTCTCTTTCACTTGCGTGCGACGCGACCACCTGCCCTCCGCCGCCGCCCCTCCCCACCCCTCTCCTCACAGGGTGGCCTCTCGTGACAGCCATTGGGAACCCGTATATGTGACATTATGCGTAAAGTACTCAAATGGAGGCAAGAGGGAAACGGATGGAATACAAAATATTCTGTAGCTGTACACTACACATTTCTAAGCATTAATTAGTATATAAAAGTTAGTTAAAGGTAAAAATTAGTGTATAGCAATAAGTAATCTCCCCGAGAATACTAAAGTACATGTACACCAATTATTTGCAAGTTTTGTGATTTGAAACGCATCCGAGCCGATGGCCAAAAATGGGAATCACACAGAATTAATGGTTTGTACATGCTAGAACGTTTGGGTATGTTGCATATTTTTGGTCAATGAGATACCAATTAGTAATATTTCAAGCTGAAACGCCCATTGAAGGTGCGAGACGCTGATTCACTCTTGAGTATAGTAGACACAAAGACGTAATCCTTCTTCCCTCTCCGCTCAGAAATGCGTTTGATATTCGTTATTGTTTTGTTCCCAGGGAAAAGGAAAAAATACCTCTTGCATGAACATTCGGTTAAGTTTTTCGTTATCATCTCTGAGACATTGACAGCTCGAGTTTCTTATATAAATAAATTGTTTTGGGTGACGCTTGTTGGCTCTTCAGTTCATCAGGAAAGTGTATTCACACTGAAAATCACCCCCAAGTTCTCCTACTAAAAATTGCATGTATGTTGATAGCAACCTGAAGACTGGGAGGCAAGGGAAAGGGATAACACCTATTATGATTCAGCATCTATTATGATTGTGGTGAGTTTGCAATTTACGTTTTCTTTTGTTACAAGCCGCATCTTGTGCTACCGACGTAGTTTCTGATGAATGCACTCTCACTAGCAAGGTTCCACTACGGTGAGACTTTTTTGGGGCGCTATATTATGAAGAGTTTGATTCAATTAAACTCGGGTACGAGAATATTCCCCGGTGAACTGACGTCTCCAGTCTACCTGCTGGGCATTTACACTTTTCCGTGTTCAAAGCGCACCTCTGGGGCACTCTGCGTAAAGGGTGGTTGGCGTCGCAAGAGACACACTTGTATTCTCGCCGGATATATCAAGACGTCTTCTGCAAATGTATGTAAAAGCATGGTATCTGACTTGCATTTTTTCTCCATTAGGCACAACTTAGACAATTCAACTTTCACCTCTGAGTATCAGGGTGTAAAGTTGTCATAAAATCGGTTGCAGCATGGAGTTTTGGAGTTTTCCTATTTCACTGTTTTGCATTTCATCTCATTTTCATGATAATCAAGCATCACCGTCATCTCGGCCAAAATGTAACATTCCGAGCATCCGTGCATTAGAAATTACCCAAACATGAGGGGCCAATGTCACATGTTAACTTCGTCTTTTGAAAGAGTAACCTCGTATAAGACAGTAAAAAGTTTCTTAAAATCAAAAGACATTAGAGTTGTTTAACTATTATTGACAAAGATAAGAATTTTGAAAGGATTCTTAGCTCTATTCTCACACCCCTTTCTCTACATCCAGAAACATATTTAATTTATTTTAATTTTTTCCGACAAATTAACATAATCTTTACGAATTAAAAAATTTAAATATGAAAATAATTTATACCAACCAACAAAATGGATATTTTTTCGGCACTATTTGGTACTTCAAAGGTCAATAAGAACTGGGTGCTACAACGATGTATAAAAATTTGTTATAACACTAAAATAATGGAACCGTTGCAATCACTTTTAAAGTATATTTTAAGTCGTAAGTGGTTTTAAAGGCGGCAAAGAGAAAAATATATTTTTTATCATTGTAGCTTCAGCCTAGCAATTGAAACAATCTGAAAAAAAAGAACAACCGGAGTTTGAAAAAGTTTCAAGACTTTTTCGTTCTTGCTCACGTATTCGAAGAGACAAAGAAATTGCTTACTTACTCGCACCAGCATCTAAGAAGAGACATATTTTGTAATTCATCAAAAACTCTTATTGTCGAGTCCTGGTAACAAAAAAGGGGACAACTCCTGTAGCAAATTACCTCCTCTGACACTTGTGACCAGAATCCATATTTTGTTAGTCTTTGATACCGAAAAATCGAGTGTTAACATAACGACTGTGAGCATTCATCGGTCCGTCTTTTCGTGGACAACGCTAGCTGCCCGTTCCGCTTATGTTCTCCAAAATTGATATTCCCTATTTGATCTGAACGAACTCAAGGCTTTGGGAGCTTCAATAACATATTTGGATTATTGAGGGTACTTTATATGAAGCCTAAACAACATTTTCTGAAAAATGGCACCAAAATTATTGATTAAACTTCTTTATCGGATAGCGAAAGGACGCTGAAGAGAATGACGCAGTGCTCATTTTCTAAAATTAAATATATTAAAATTCTCGATTTTTTGAAAATTGTAAAAGTGCAATTGCTTTATTGTCTTCCCAAAACTACAATATTGAAGGCAGCGATATTTCCGTTAATGAAATGTTCCGTAAAGTTGAATCTTAAAATCAGGTCATTTACAATTTTTCGAAAATATTGATAGTTTTTGCCTAATTGTGCTAGAAATATTGGCAATTTCTTTAAACAATTTATTGTTCTCAAAAAGGCACCAATATTTTCTTTAAATTTTGTCCTCGTTTGTTATTGTTCTTCTTCAAGTTAATGTGGTTGTTAATGTTAATGATAATATGGTTGTAAATCATTTCGCTTCTCACAGGATGCACTTATTCCATAGAATATTTTTGTAATGGAAGGCGAATCGCATTCACCTGCCAACGCTCCTATCTTTCTCGGGTTTTACGTGAATCTAATTCTAATAAATAAGTCGTAAGGGAATTTGTCCCCTTCTGCCAAGTAGTTGGAGCCGAGGCGAGGCACCCCGTGCCCTCCCAGCGGGGCGCCGAGGCGAGGCGAGGCGAGGCGGACGGGCAATGGGCGGTAATCTCTCGGCGCCCAGCGTCGGCCGTGAAAGCGCCTGCGCGCGGGGGCGGGGCGTGGGCAACGGCAATGTCCGGGAGGGGAGGGGGAGGGGAGGGGCGGGCGTCGTCGATCATCGGGGATCGCGAGCCGTCCGCGCCCGGCCGACATTAATATTTATATCGTCGTCATTACTGGCCCCTGGCCACCGGAGCCCGCAGCGCCTCGGGGACGCCCGCGCCGGATCGCCCGCGGTCCCGCCCCCCGCCCGCAACACGCTCGCCCAGCCCTCCGCCACGCCCGGCCCTATCAACCCTCCTCGTCCTTCCCTTACCAAAAGCCCGCTCCGCCACCACAGGCCCGACGACCATCATCGTCTCGCTCGCGGACCGCCCTTCGCCCGGCCGCCCGCCCCCGCCCCGCCGCCCCGCCGCCACTGCGCATCCCGTCAGCCGCGGGGAGGGACTCGTCCCCGCCCGCCTCTAGCGCACAATCGCTCGCGGACCGCCCCCTCGCACAGTCCTGCGCCCCCGCCCCGCAAGGCCAACCCTTCATTCTCTCGCTCACCGCTCCGTCCATATCACGCTCTCGTCCCGCAACCACTGGCCCGTGCGTCCACGGGCTCTTTCCTCCAGCGACGCAACCCAAATCCAGTTTTCCTTGGACCTTACTTATTGCATTTATTTCTTGCATTGCTAAGATATGTCTCCTATTTTTGGTTTAACATATTGCATGATACCAGCTGAATTGTTTTTGGTAAAACAGGCAAGAAGGCAAAAAATATTTTTTTTAACACGTCGTGCGCGAAACACGGTTTTTCGTGCATGTTTTCCATGTGCGGAACAGCTAATTTTTTCTTAGTGTGATAAACATAGCGAAGCGTCTGTGAATTATCTGTAAGGATTCGCAATTGTCTGTTGATGACATCTTTGTTTATTATTTACAAACAATAGTGTTATTATTGTTGTAAATATAATGTGTTTCTAGTTATTCGTTATGTAATTTATTTTCTTTTAATTGAGAAATTGCGAATCACTCACGTAAAAAATAATATACTCAACACGGGCGCGAGGTGATTCCCACACTCGTTTCTTTGTCGTCCCCGCTATAGGTTCGGACGACAAACTCGAATCGTGAGTGAGTTTCCTGTTACGTAAACTACTATTTTAAATGTCTAATTCTTAAAATAGAATGGGTACCTGTCAAAATTTGTCGGCGTAAATACACTCACTAATCTTTGAATTTATTAACACTCATTGATCAACACATCTCAAAATCTTGCGACCTGCGCTGCGCTAACTATATTCCCACACGCTCAAGCTTTCTCACGGCACGCGCCGAGAAGATAATTGTTTTCGATATAACGGATGTTCGGGTGTTCCACCAGTTAGGCACCTATCCGCCCACCCGGGCGAAGTATTCGAGCACGACCTCGGCCGCAAACCAAACATACAAATCCCATCAGAAACATGAGATCAATACGTTTGGCTGTTCTTCTCCGGGTCAGAGTGGAAATCTTGTAGCCCCGAGCAGTCGAGGTGATCGCACCCAGGCTTCATTGGAGAGAAGTTTCCCGGGAGCGTTTCAATCCGGCGTATACTGCTGCTGACTGCGCTTTAGTGTTACCTAAAAGAATGAGGGTAAAGTTAAAGTCTAGGGTAAGAAAAATCCCTCTGGATTAAACTGTAAATGTGTAATTAGGTGGCTCGCCGCCCTTTATCACTCATATAAACACATGCCTGCCGAGCCAATTGTTTGCGCACCCGACTGTCTGCCCACTGCCTGCTCGTCCTCCTGAGTGCCTGTTCTCCAAACTTTCGGCCCTCACTTCTGTCCACTCTCCCAACTCTCTACCCTTCCTTCTGTCTGCCCTCCCTAATGTCCGCCCTCTAGAATGATCGCTCCCCCGGACTCGCTCACAGCTCGCCCGCCCAGCCCCCCTTTGTGCTACGCCGGCCACGCGTCGCCAAGTCATCGCCTCTGCCGCCGCCTCCCGGCTCTCCTTCTTCGTGTCGCTCCCCTCGCCGGCGGGGGCCGTGTTTATCGTAATGCGAGATGCGCCAGCAATTTCATTAAACGCGAAGCCCGGCCAGGACCTCAGACGAGCGACGGGAAGATTACGGGCGAATCAGGTTAATTAGTAGCGTCTGGCTGCGTGCCTAGACGGCGCGAGCACAGTGCGAGGACCGGCCCGCCGACGCCACCCCCGCTGCCGGCGCGCACGGGGGGCAAGGCGAAAGGTTCGAACTCACCCCTCTGGAAAACGACATCCAAATATTAGTTTCGTGTAAAGACAGAAGCAGGCGCTAGAGGCAGGGGTTAGCACAAACACACCACACAAGCACCCACCACGCGCAAACACCCACCACGCGAAACACCGACCACGCGAAACACCGACCACGCACAAACACCGACCACGCACAAACACCGACCACGCACAAACACCGACCACGCACAAACACCCACTACGCACAAACACACAAACGCCCAACACCGCTACACCCCACGACGTACACACACACTACGCACAAACATGCTTCCACACCAGTCACAACCAGACACTTCACGTACTGGAAAAGTGGTTCACTCTGCGCGCTGTGGGCGTCACTTCGGCCCACTGCCTTGTGAATCGTCGCTGGCGAGCCAGTTTCGAGGTGCTGGCGCTGGCGGCGATGCCGTCGGGGCGCAGCCGTTAAAACGTGTTGGCGCCGGCGACCGCGGACTTCCTCACTGAAGGCCACGGCATACTTGTGGCCCCACGGCTGGTGGCTTCAGGCCTTGGGCGACCAGCGCTTGACGCGCACTAACGCCACTCCCTTGACTAGACATTTCGAACTCGCCATTAGAATCTAACGTAACAAAAGAGATATTATTATTATTATTATTATTATTATTATTATTATTATTATCATTATTGTCGTGTCGGCTCTTTCTGACCAATTGCCGTGTGTAACTATGGGGATTAGCTTTTGAGCTTTATCCCTCGGTTAGACAATGTTGCTACGCCTTGAATTGTGAATTGTGAGGTGATAGGACGATAACGAGGGGTGAAGTAACAATCACAAATACGACCATGCCTACACAGGACTCAAACCTGGAGCATCCTCGGCGCAGACGACGGCTGCCACAGCCGTCAGCGCCATGGCGCTGCTATCATCATCATCATCATCATGTTATTATTATTATTATTGTTATTGTTATTATTGTTATTGTTATTGTTATTATTATTATTATTATTATTATTATTGATACTATTCTTGAACAGTCTTAAACAGTAGACAAATTGCATTGTCGCCCTTGTAAATACTATATTACTACCACTAACATATAGAGTCAATATCTATTTTGTGGGTCTTAGAATCCAAAAAATCAATTGACGGCAAATCTTGTACTATACTGCTGTCCGTCTGTGTGTTTATTTTTTTCCGTTTGTCTGCCCGTCTGTCTGTTCATCCATTTGTGCGTCTGACTGGCTGCGCGTCGTTTTGACTGTCCGTGCGTCTGCTCGTCGGTCTGTCCGTCCATCTGTTCGTCTGTGCGTCTGTCCATTCATCTCTTCGTTCATCTGTCCTGTCTATCAGTCCATCTGTGCGTGGTGAAAGCTAGGACCTAAATCGTTCAGATTTTCTCCAAAATTGATATTCCACGATTGATTTAGAGAAATTTGAGGCTCTGAGAATTTGAAATGGATTTTTGATTATTTGGGGGAACTTTTCACGAAGACTCATTTACATTTACAAAATATCTCCAAACTTTTTCATAGTACATTGTCTTCAGATTGTGTAAAAGATAATAGATAAAACAATGATCGTCGGTTTTTATTTCAATATTAAAATATCTTTTTAACCAGATCATCTACAGTATCCAAAACTGCACAAAAAGCATGTACAAATGCAATTCTTCCTTCACCAACTTCACATCTTCCTTCTTCAGTATTTTAATAAATCAGAAAATGTATCTGCTTCTACATAATTATGAGTACGTTCCCCCTATTTTGTGAAGTGGTCCGCGGCCATAGTCTTGCCAGCACTGAGGAAGATCACGACTAGAAAGTCGAAACGTTAGCATTACGACCTTCGACCTACGACACCCAATCAGCCAAGAGCATTCCCTCTGTTTTGTGTAAATTGCAACATTTTGTCGTTAGAGAGGTTTCTTTTACACACACATTGAAGTGCTTCTGGCAAGAAACAATAGTTGTTCCTTCTAGTCAAATGCTGAAATGCTTTATGTATTTCGGCTGAGGAATTAAAGTTGACTCTTCAATCAGAATAGTTCACTGTGCGCTAAAAGATGGGTATTAGATTAATAATTAGCCATCTCTTCAAACGAATTTTTAACATAATTTTTATTCCAGAATTTGAAAGAAAATAAAGAGATTTTTTAAACATTACTACAAACATTTATTATCTTTATTAATTGATAATTGAACGCCAATTAACCTGATAAAGACAACTTTGTAACAAACATGATTTTTACAACGATATATAGGCCTAGCTTCGTTGCTCTAATGTAACATGTAACCAAAAAGTTGAGGGCTTTTTCAGCCTCGGGGGATGCCGGTTTTTGACGTTCCGCGCCGGATACCCTGATACATTTGTGGGATCCCCTATCTGTGGTCAGCAAACTCAGAAGGTCTTCCGGGACAACACACATACATGAAATACAAAGGACACACATCCAAGCCCATGGCCGGACTCGAACTCGCGACCCATCTCACCGAATCGCTGACACGGCATACGCTCAGGGTCGTGTGCAAGTTTTTAAGAAACGAGTAATTTTTACTAACTGAAATTTCTAAAAGATATATTTTTCAAAACCGCTCCACATTTTTAAAAGAAATTCCACCTATAGAAGATTATAGGTTATCTTAAAACAATGGCACACAACAAAACAGTTTCGTTGAACATTCTAAATTTTCGAAAATTGCAAATTTAGAAATAATGCAAGAAAATATGTCTCACTACTAGTTTAGAAGAGATTTCATTCAATAAAGAAGTTATCTTCAATGTCGTATTTTTGCGATGTTGATTTTTTGTTCTGGTTGTTTGGAAGTTTGGAAAATACAGAGTATTTCGTGAAAATGAGACCAGCAACAAATTCTTTGCCGATCATTGCACAGGCCGTAATCTACAGTGTGAAACTTGTTGAACATTATATTACATTTGTGCTAGGGGAAAGGGGTGGAAGCGAAGAGAGAGAGAGAGGGAGAGGAAGAGAGAGGGAAAGAGAGAGAGAGGGAGCAGAAGGGCAGAAGAACGGGTGTTCCGCTAATTTCTTACTGTAAATAGGGACAAGATTTATCCACATTTTCGTTACCATGGCACGGCATTTAGAGTTTTTTGTGCGAAAATTCGCGTTTTTTCCGCAACATTACAATACTTTCTCTATACTGCGTAAACAGTACGCGAGAAAGTAAACGTCAGGAAGAAGAATGATAATGTAAACCAAAACGAAAAGAACGTTCTGGCAGATTCTGCTTAGATTTTCATGTAGAGTTTTCCATCAACGGCCCCCAACAACGTGTCACCCGCCGCCATTATTCCCGCGATGCCATTGCCGTGCCTCCCAAACGGCTGCACCCACGCAACTGCGAAGACACGGAGTCAGCCCCGTTCGAAACGGCGATGTACCGCGCGCCTCCACAAACTCACCGTACGAGACCGCAGCCATTCGTCGGCGACACACGACACCAACTGGTGACGTTTACGACTGAAACTCACACTAAATCCCCGGCGTGCCCTCGCTGCTATCCCTCCCCTCACTAGCCCCCAGTGGTCCCCCGGCCAACGTAAATAACCCGGCACGCCGTCGGGTGATGTATCTTCATAAGTTGTCTGCCTTTGAAATTTACCTCCCGTGCTTGTCGCTATCAATCATGGGAGATATATTTTTCTCGTATATTTCGGGGATGTTCTTTCCAATTTCTCGTGCATCCCTCAAGATCGTGTGTCGGCCATTCGGTGAGCGTCTACCGCGATGAGAGCGTGGATGTGACTAATTGTAGATGAGTTAGTGGGCATGCTGTTATTGAGTTCATGTTCCGTCACCCTGTGTAGTGTGAGGGCTGTTGCTGTTTCTAAAATGCAAATATGTCTATAAATAAATTATGCAATTCGACCAGCATCTGCCCCAAAGGATCGTTTTGTAAACAGCGTTATTTAAAACTGCAAGCATGTCATATCAATATTTAATATACTTATAATTGATGCGAGACACTGAAAACATGTAACAGATATTTTGTCCAAACATGTTGAATTCACTCAATATAAGGCAGCAAAATATCACGTTTAATGGCACATATACACGTACGTCATTGCGTTCTATATTTTGATTGTCAAGTGTCAGTGCGAAACATACTCCAGCTTCAGAGAGATATTGCCAGTGCTATAACTGAATATGACTTTATCATACGTCATTTTAGCAGAAAATCACGATACATACGAAAGACGTAGGTAGGCAAGAGTTTTTAGGTAAATAAGAGTTAAACATTTTTAATGTATCAAATTTCAAAATGTCAAAGCCACCTCATGGTAGACACATTTCTTATTAATGTAGTTAATTAGTTAGTGTAATTAATGTAATTAAATGTAGCTTCACTATGCGCATATTTTGTTGAACTCTCCTTTTGCTTGTAATGTTAAGAGTAGAGGTAAGGGCAAGTTGCTATTTTGTTAGCAATGCAGAAAAATCATACTTACAATTGGTGTACCCTTACAAATAACTTTTTTATAACTCGGAAACGAAAATGACTATTTTTCAAATATTGCTTAATCTTGCGAGTTTTAAAATTTATTTTTATTTATTAATGTTAAGCTTTTACTCATCTTTGAACTATTTATAGTTAAAATGACGTGAAGGGATTCTGAAACTCAAGAAAACGTGCGTAGATAATATTCTTTCCCTATGTCAATACAGTTTTTACTGTTTTTTGATTAAATAAATCTAAATCATAAATCTAAAAATCAATTATTGTAATTTACTGGACGTACCCAAGTTCAACAGAGGTCAATTTCATAATGATGACCATATTCCTTTGCAAAGTAATGTCTTTTGAAAAGTTAGACATGTTTTAGGTGTTCACTTTAAATTTTTCATTGTTGTTGTGAACGCTATCATCTATTTACATGAGGTACTACCTTCGTGGGCTTCCTATATTATGCGCCATTCATTAATGATTAGTAAGAAGTGACTCCCAATAAACAACGAAAGATATTTACTTATTGAACGCCAAGAACAGTTAAAAAAAATTGTGACATACTATACTGAGAAGTATGTTTTGTACATGTTTTTTTAAAATTCTCGGACCCTTAACTGAACACATACACAAGTACAACTTGAATAATAAATACAGTTGGAAAGTTATTTTCGTTGTCGAGTAATAAAAACTATGCGAGGGCAAATCAGCTTCAGTCAGAAACATAATATTTTTAAAACTCTCCGTTCAGAGGAAAATTAATTAAAAATAATATTCAGCAATGCACGAGAGATACGGATGGGCTACGTATTTGGTCATGCGCTTCGAAAACAAGTTCCTTCTACATTTCCTTCCAACTCAAAGTACAGACATGCATTAGTTCCAGCAGGTTCGCAATTGCGAGTGCTATAGTCTAACATCAACAAAAGTTCGTTAATCCACCGTCGCCGAATTTCAGGTGAGCAAGTAATTAACATGATTTCGGTACATTACAGTGAATTAGTTGTCCGATACCACGGTCAAATGGTTTCTCAACCTTCTCTTTTTTTCTTGAAGCCATTTGCTTTTAGCTCTCCTTGGTACCAAATCTGGTGTTATTATACCTTTCGAATTTGTACATTTAAATGTTTTTTTAATTTGTAACAGTAATCATTAAAATAAAGTAAAGTAATCATTAAAGTAACAAAAACGTTACTTATATTTTTATGCAATTATTCTCAATTTATATATCTACGTTGAGATAAAAGTGACTATATTTTGAATTTAAAATAAAGTATTCCGATGCAAAACTGCGGCACTGGAAACGCGATCACAGCCTGAAGAATATCACCTCAAATACTAATATGGCGCTCTAAACGTTTATTTTGCCCCAGAAATGCTGAAGTTGGAAGTGATCTTAATCAAGTACATATCATAAAATCTAAGAAAATAAATAGAAGAAACCGGACCGTATCTCAACTGCAGTATTATATGACGTAACATTGTCTTGATTGATTGATTGTTAGTGATTCCGGGCGTGTCAACCACTTTGGTCATTAGTACCGTAAGTGTAGTGCATGTTTTTGCTCAGGTGGTGGTGGTGGTGGTGATGGCGGCGGCGGTAGTCTCCTACTAACAGGGCATCGACCCAGCCGGGATAAGCTCTAAGCCCCGGCCGGTCTCCCGACATGTGTGGTAGTGTGGTGTATGTAAGGGGTGAGGATAGGTCAAGGAAGGAGAAAGGAAATATCGCGCGCGGTCCGTGACCCGTTTGTTAGTGTACTGCTCCGGCATTTGCCTGGTGTTCATCGGAGCAACTACAGAAAACTACCGACCAGAGCAGCCGACCGATAGACTTCTCCTCCCGACTGCGACTGAATTCGGCCTGCTGACAGGGTAGTGACGAAAAGTGTCTCTGGCGGGACTCCAACCTAGGACCTCCTGGTCAGAGGGACTGCAGTGACGCCAGTTGATGCCCTGAGCTTTCTCTCCCGGTGTGACATTGCATAAAAACTATATCAGAAACATACGCATTTCTTTAAACTAATTGCTGTTGATGAAAGCTCTAAATGTGACGTTGATGTTGTTTAGGACAAAGTACGAGTAAAGTAATAATTTAACAGTGTATTGTGTTAAAGTATTGATTTATGTTAGTTATGGCGATTTTTAGTTTCTAATCTAGTTCTATTTCTATTATGGCGTTGAGGCTACTGCCTCCGTCCCGCGTCCACTCTCGCTCATCTTTTTCTCTGCCTCAGCCTTACATCCTCACCCACAGCGCCGAAGCGACGCGAGGCGGGTTCTGACAGCTGCTAATTGACGCAATTCCCGCTTCGCGGCGAGCGCGCCACGGTAGCCCTCAAACCCATCTGCTCCGATCGCACGGTGCCCCCAAATGACGAAACCTTGGCCTAAATTTCAGAGAGAATTTATTTGAGAGAATTTAGATCAACGTTATTGGTAATGGACTGTCTAGTTTGTAGATCTGTAGTGATAGCAAGGAGGCTTATGTACTTTGTATCTGCTATTGCAGAAGACAGCAATAGGCGTATGAATGACGATGAGCGGTTCTTTATGAATGTCCTTTACGTTGCCAAACAGATGTACAGGATGTCTGGCGAGAAAACGTTGAAATTTCGAAAATAAACTCTTAAGACAATTTTAAATATATTTTGTCTAATAATCTAGGTGAATATTTTGAATACTTGAGGCGCAATATGCACTCAAAAGTTGGATTGCAAAAATGCTTTCTAGGCAAAATTTTGCATTGCAGAAGCATACAAACACTCCAGAAACATAAATTATTTATTATTTACAAAACAATTTAATATATTTTTTTCAGGAGGAAAATTAACCCGGAAATAAAAAAAAAGCAATCGGATTGTGTAAATTGGGTGCTTTTATATTTCTGAACTACTTTATTAATTTCTGTGCTTCTGCAATACAAAGTTTAGCATAGAAAGCATTTTTTAAACCAACTTTTGAGTGCTTATTGCGCCTCAACCATTCAAAATATCCATCTAGTTCATTAGACAAAATATGCTTAAAATTGTCTTAAGAGCTTATTTGTGAAGGGTCGACGTTTCCTCCCCAGACACTCTGCACATATATCACTGTTTAGCATATTGGATAGTTTACAAAATTGCAACATCGACTTTGCTGCCAGATGTTAGTGTTTCTATCCTCTAATGTTTCCACGTAGGGCCGGAGGTCAAGTTTTCACACGAAGTGTTCGTGAGATTTTATTTCTAGCAAATCCTTCGTGGGGTGGTAGATTCGTGAGTATGTTTTGCGGTGAAAAATATCCAAGAAGATATATAAGTATGATCATTGTGTCAGAAATAGTGTACCAGGTTGGAAATATCAGGCGAAACTTTAACCTCACTTATTTTAGATTGGATTGTAAATCAATTGTTTCGAATTTTGAAACCAAGACGCGTTCAAAGAATGGAAAATGTTCATTCATCACAAAAAAATTAGACATTTTCTTCCTGTGTAATCATACATCAATGTGCTTTGCAGAAATATTGAAGAATACTATACTGTTATCAAGGTGCATTGCTAGTGAAGATACAGCGCCTCGCATAACGTTTAGCAACACCAGGAACAATAATTGCGCTTTGCCATTCATTCATTCATTTATTTCTATTTGCGATCATAAGCGAAGAGGCTTTGGATAGGATCAGGGTCACAGTATTAAGTCTGCGTCGAGAGAAACTGCTAAGACTGGGTCAGATTATATACTGTGAAGGTGCTGAAGAAAAACAGTTAACTCTCACGTGTGTCATAGGAATTGAAATAAAAGGTTTAAGGCGATTTATAACGCAGCAGGAGAGGATTTTATCTAAAAATGTTTTTAAATTATGATTTTTCATGTTCTAATGTGCTGAAATAGAGCACTCGTCTACAATAAGTGTCAAAATACAAAACTTCATCAAAAGTGGACTTCGACTGTTCTAGTCTGTACCTTGGTGTACTT